TGTGGCGACTTGAACCTCCGTACATATGTGCAAAGTTCTATGTCGAAAACCGACCGACCGACCGATTATTCATTTACCAAACAACCAGATTAAGAACTACACTTATCATTTGTTGACATTTTGGAGATCATTATTCAATGTTTTGCATTTAGCTTTGCCTAGACTGTGTCATTCTGCCTGGCTTTCAGTATGACTTCGCAAAGAAGTCCAACTGTTTAGTTTACCACATTCAATGCACCACACAAAGTTTGAGACATAAAACTAAATGGAAGTTTAAGGGGCGAAAATTTGAGGGAGAATAAATAGTGACAAGGAAAACATGAGTTGGAAAGATACGAGAGATTACACAGAGTGAATGCATCTGTGTCATTAACAAAGATTTGCAGTCATATCTCCAGTAGTTCTTCTAGCTGACTGTCAACGACTTTATGAACCAATACCAGCTTTTCATTTGACTGACCCAAACACATTTGGAACCTTAACATGTGCTGGCTAACACTGTCCCTCGAGGAAGGCGATGGCTTGGTGTGCCATCACGTGTTCTAACCATCTCAACCTATTCAGCTTCCCTACCTTGTAGACTAACTTACTCTCCTCACCTAACACTTTATGCGTAAACTCAACATCACTCGCCATATTATACTGCTTTACTCATGAGATAGAACACAGACACCTATGATCAAACACGGGTATTCTTTTCATATTTCCCAGCATCAGGGTTTACTTCTCATAGTCTAGGTGGACAATATCATCAGCAAACTGTAAGTTGATGAGACTATTCCCTGATAAGTCTCTAAAGACAATTACAGATAAACTACTAATATATGTGTGATTGGATTAAACTTTATGGATCCATAAAGTCTACAGAATGTGCATCAGTTCGGCTGCATAAAACGAGTAAGTGGTATCCTGGCAATAACAATGACTAAAACAAGTCTAGGAATTATGCACTACAACTTTTGCTTTACTGAATACTCCAGCAGATTTTAAATAAACACTTGAAAAATATCAAATTTATACAGGAAGTCAGTAAGATTTAGTAAACTAAAAGTACTTTCGGTTTCCATAGGAGTTCTCTATGCCGAATTTATTCCTTTAAAGGCCTACACAGACTACACCTACAATTAAATAACACTGACGTCCAATATCCAATATCGTTTTAACGAGCTAGTATAAACCAATTTGATTTCTTTGTGCTCGCCTCTTGATTGTGAGGTAGAGGTTCCTGATCTTCGGTAAACGTCTGCGTAGCTCGTCCCGCCACTCGACTGCCGTAGCTTTGGTTGACTCCAAAAGGAGTAGTGCAGGGATTAATTATATGTGGTTTGTGGTATGAGGTGTGTTAAGACTGTTACTACTGTGAATGGAGTTGATCCTTTCACCAGTTGGTCCTTTGGTATCGTCGTTAAAGCTTTCAGGAGAGTAAGACTGAAGAGAATGTAAAGAAGTAAAACGACCAGTTTAATTGTCTACCTTTGGATGGTGTATGCGATTTTAAGGGGATAGGCCATTTGGATGAAGTCCTTGTGTCGCTGCATGGTTGTCCAGCCTTCGCTTAAAGGCGCGGAAGAAATTTCATTCTTCATTACTAAACTTAATGCAAATAATCATGCTTTTTATTCTAAAAACAGGAGCATTCGTAATATTTCACTTTATGTAAATGCAGTTGCATACAGTTGCACTAAGAATTAAGTGCAACTCGGTGCACAATAGTATATACACAAATAAACTGAAAATAATGTCCTCCTTACCTTCTTAACAACTTGTCCTTATTCCGGGATAATAACTTTCTTTCACGTATCAGCCTGAGTTATGTCTATGAAATCAGTTAAATTTTGCCCCAAAACCAAGGCCACTTGAAACCAATAGCAACATAGCAACAAGCGTCATTGACGGGATATGCAATAAAGTCGCTCAAAGAAACATTGTCCAAAGGCCAAGGCCGCGGACCATAAAGCGCGCCTTTTCAATAATCAATGTATTTATTAAGGGCTTGTATAAGCCTTGGGATTGATGTCGCCAGCGTCTAGACACTTTATAGCGATTCTAGATCTCTTTCGGATGCCTTTAACTTCAGCAATTCTGATGACGCATCGACTGGGAAAGGTGAGACCTAATTCCAGGATATACTCATTACTACGATTAAAAGCTGTCTGTTTAACAGTCATTATCTCAACTCACTCTAAGCTATCGTAGCAGTATATTATTTTTAAGGCCATAAGAATAACGCACCTTTCACTTAGCGAGAGGTGCTAACCTTCACCGTTTAAGTCTACTTGATATGCTGAAAGAACGCAGTCATACATCCTCACCACTTCACATTACGTCATGTAACGTTTGGCAGTTATTGCATGATTCTTAGCAAATTAAGCAGTCATCATCACTCTGCGTTTTGTGTCCCATAATATATGGTATTTTCTCACGATCAACTTGTCGCTTATGATTTTTCTTTGGCTTATGTGGAGAAAAACACCCTGAAAGTTAGGAGATGAACACTCGCGTTTGTAAGCGGCGAATATACTGCGACTCACTAATGCTAAACTAAAGACTTATGAAGTTCTGATGACGGTATTAGGACCATATGACACCGGCATTAAGGAGAGGAATGGGCCTGTAACTGTGTCACTACCAACAGATTAAAAATACTGTCAGAATCCTTAGGCAGCCTGCAAAGCACTGCGCAATAATTGCAAAATTTCGTGTTGCTCAGTGCATTGTGTCGTGTAATCAAACAGTCCCCTACTATGATATAGCTGCGAGCAAGTAGTTCTAGTCTCTGCAGTGAGTCGCTACACGGTATGCACTTTAAACTTAAAAACCTCTATCATCATACTACGGTTTACTGAGAAATTCGGGGGGCGAGCTGCAGAAGAACCACCACTCAAAGTCATCCGCAAATTTACTGTGTAAGAATGAGGGAGCAGACAGGCGAATTTGTTTTCGAAGGCAACTGACGATGATAGTTGGAAATGATAATAGGCTGAGTTTTATTTGTGGTCAAGCAATGTCAGAATAACTCTGGAATTTAAGTCAGATAGAAGCTAAAGGCTAGCCGCCTTCCAAACTGGCTTCTAGCTTAACCATTTCCTAGTTTACCGTTACCATTCTTTGTCTTCACTGTTGGAGAGTACATTTGGTAGTTTCATTATCTTAGGACGTATCACAGGAAGTCTTACTACCTGATTAGTACTTTTCTTGTTCACAGATACATAAACGATTGTTGACAAGTTATCCGTTTCCATTCAAAATACTATGGCAGAAAATATCTCACCGAATTTACTATAGGCCTAGTTTTCTAATACAAGGTTAAAAATGTTTGAAGTACCATCATTTACTCCATTATGGATAAAATTTATTTTGATAAGGCCACTCAGAGTTATACAGTAATATTTACTGATGAGGTTTTGCGCATAAGGTTTCAGTGGATATTGCTGTACGCTACTTTATTTATTCATTTATTGTTTATTTTACTATGGCTTGATTCAACAGAGCATTTTGGTACAAGTATGGAATTTTCAGCATGTGATAGCCATAGCCCAAATGTAGCAGGCCGACCACCGACATGGTGTGCATCAACCAGGGATCGATCTCCGGGCCATGTGCATGGATGGTGAGCGTCCTGTCCTCTGTGACACCGACTTCATCAAGACAAATTTTATTCTTAATGCAATTATACTCCACCACAGTGCCTTATACCGTCATTTATCATCCAATAATTTCCATGGCGCATGTGGTAAAACAATCTCATCCAAATACAACTTCCTTTTCATATTTAACATGCAAATACCTTGACTGCATCTAGAGTGTGGCCAGTTATCAGTGACCGTAACACTTTCAAAGGTATATTCGAAATTGTCATGCACATCACGAGCAGTTCATCGCAGACAAAAAGCGTGCGTCCGCATAGATGAGCAGGTGCATGAAAATGATTACATTCTGTGAATGCGTTCTCGCGACTTTTCGTTGGCAGGTACACGGAGTGTGATAGTGCACTATGTAATGGTTGCATGCGGGGTCTGAAAAGAGCCGCATGTCAAATGCTTGCGTCCCACCCTGATGCTGCACAAACTTCTCGATGCCTGAACGTACTGAGCTGCCTGTTATGTTAATGAACTTGCCCTACATAACCGCCAGCTTTGTAGGGAAAGGTTCATATGTGTGCGAGTTTGTTCTGTGTCTGCTGTTTTGTTGTAATTTTGACAAAAATAGACAATTTTAAATGTGAAGACGATCTCATTCAGAATTATGAACGTCTTTCAAGGAGGAAGATAGGCAAAACGAAGGCTTTTCCCTGTGGCAACTATTGAAGACTAGCTCACTTCAGAGAATAATTTTAGGTTTTCTCCCTTTTCTTATAGAAACCGCTGGAAAATCATTTCGCAGTGTTCGATGTATTGCAAGACTGCTGACATTATGCAACATTGGTAACTGACTAATCGTACTGGAAAACCTAGGTACATATCTGTAATTGTGTACGGAATGGTTGCCACCGATAAATGTTTAACAATACCAGCATCTACATCTGTTGGAGAATTCCCAGTGGTGAATTCATAAGTAATTTTTGTGAACCGAAGGCCACTGATTAAAAGAAGTGACCTTAAAATGGATTGAACTGCATATCATCGGTTGTTTACTTCAGCACTATACTAAACTTTCCTCACGATGTCTCTAGTCTCGACCAATGTATCTTTCAAATGAATATCACGGGTTATTTAGCAGGTCAGGTAGAGACAGAGATCCTGTTTTTGGGTCCATAACATAAACATCAGTTCCATCTGAGCCAGTATGGACTCAAATAATCAAAATACTTTGAAAAAAAGAGTGGTTAGAACTACTATTATTATTTAAACTGTCGTTTTAGTGTCTAAACGGAATGAAAGAATAACACTCAAGCATGTTATCTCAGTTTTCGAAAATTAGAAACTTGATACTTTATATAAACTAAAGGAAAGACCTTGGAGTGTTCATTATCTTATGCTTATGATTTAAAAGTCTGCCAAATGCCTCTTTCACCGCGAATTATTGAATATGGTTTGAAAGCTGCTGGAGTCGCAACTGCCGTCTGTATGTTTTTAAAAATATTTTACAAGTTATTGTTTAGTGTGCATCAGCTTGGGTGTATTTTGTATGGTCTCAATATCTGCACAATGCATCATTGGTGGTCTCCTATTGATGTAGGTTTATGTTCCTTTAGTAATGACTTTGAAATGTTCCAGGAGTATGTTTTTATATGTGAATTTGGGGGTATTTAAGTGACGTTGCACTGACAGCTATATTGAGAATGCACTTTGATTTATTTACTATAAATATTTTTCACCGATATCACTATGTAACATAATTTTTACAATCCTGAAATTTAATTCTGCTTTACAGGTCCTCACTGGAATAAATTCTAAGAGACACTATGGGCAAGGTTTTCTAATCATTCACTACTCCACGAATAGGATTGCAGGTTTTTTTTATTTACGGTGGTTTATTTATAGGTAAAAAACTTTCTATTGATGTTTCGAAACTTCTCAGAACAAATAAAACCTTGTCTCAACTGCTTTATTAAGTATTGGGGTTAAGGACAGTGCCTTAGATTTGTCAGTTACATCTCAAAGGATAAGTTTTGCCCAGTAGTTGTCAAATGAGCATTGGCACAGTTGTATAGTGCAGTGGATTTTTGGGGGAATATGCTCCATTAATATCATGAGTCTTTGTCATATATATGTAGTGTTCGTAATTACTCTGTAATTTCTGCACGTGAAGCTCTGAATCATAGAATTGGTCGACGTCTCACATGGTGTGTTTGAGCCATCAGGTATTACTGCAGTTTCTCCCCATACTTGATGTATTCATACTTGTTATCATTTAACTGTTGGTAGTTCTTTCCCACTGGTATTTCCAAACGTAGGTATTATCCTGGCGAAGCATGTGTATATGATTTGTCTTAGTTTCTTTGGAACTTATTATTATTATTACTATTTTTACTATTATAGAATAATTGGCATAGTTGTTATAATACTAGAAGCACCTATTTGTTGTTCCATGATTCCACAATTGCACAAATTCAATGAGTTCATTGAGAAACGTTCTCCTATTGAAAAATCAATCTTTTACGGAATGTAAGCGAATATTTAAAATATCTAATAGTCTTTTTCTCTAGTGCTGCTATTTTACCCTTGAGCCTGTGCTTTGGTATTTCCACACTGTTTTGTGGGCTAGCATTGGGTGGATGCTGTGCATTTAATATTTGGAGAATTATCAAAGAAAGGTAGGTGTAGCCGTTCATTTTCGGTGTTGTACTTGATATTTATGCCTTGCGAGACATTATGTTGACTTAGTCATTAAGTCAAAAGCTCAAACAAACTTGTGTATAAAAACTTGGGCACTGTGGTAGAGTGTAACTCCATTATGGATAAGATTTTATTTTTATAAATCACACGGTGTTACACAGTAATATTAACTGATGACGTTTCGAGCACAAATTATTGCTCATAATCATATCAATTTACTCACACAACTTTTTCCTTCATTTATATATATGTATGGAATTGACTAGATATTTGAATTAAAATCAATATGAGTGTTATTGATCAAATACAATTAGATGGGAAATAAGACGAATGTTCTTATAGTTATAATAAGTAATTTGTTAGAATGTTGTGATTTTCTTGAATTGAAATAGAATTTTGAGATTATTTATTATCCTCTTCTGATTTGAATTAGGGTGGCATTCAAACCTACAAACTCACTCAGAGACAAGCTCTGTAGGCTAAAAGACCCGGTGAACCCAATTAAACAAAATAATATAATTTACAAAATACCTTGTAATGACTGTGAGGTCAACTATATAGGTCGAACTAGTAGATTGGGGGTAATCAGATTGTCGGAACATAAGCCTCAGGATGGTCGGGAGTGGGTGCCTTGCGCTGCGGGTTGGCCGCCCCTCCGCACACCTCCTGAAACGCTCCCATATGACCAGGCGTCTTACATAGCCTCTCCTGAGGAAGTCCTACTCACTGCCTTCACGTGGCGGTGTTTTTCACCAAAGTGAGAGGGCGAAGGCGGATGCCCGGCGCTCTTCACCGGGTTGACTGTCCATTGGATGACAGTCTAGGGGAGATGGCTAAACCCTGATTCCAAACCTCCAACGACTGGCATATGAAGCTCACTGGAGCTCACCGGCAGACGTATGGACAAAGGGATTGTTGGATGTCCTGGATGTCTAGCCCCATTCAAAAAGGCGTATGAACCGAACTCCGGTCACCGGCTGCCAATGGATAGTGGACTCCCTACTCCACTCCTACTGCCTTGGTCACACTTGGTTGTGTAAAGGCTAGAGCTGCACTGTCAAACAAAAGGCCGAGCGATTCTGGGGACATCACTCGTACCAAATTCCCATGAAACTTCATGAACTCATGTTCATGAAGCCGGCTCATCCTCCCGTAGGAGATAGCCGAAGTAAAGTAAGTAAAGTAACATAAGAATTTAGCCAAGGTAAGAATGGTTGACCCCGAGAAGATAAGTAATTTAGAAAAAAGCTCAGCAATTGCACTACATGCAATAACACACAACCACACAATACGGTGGGAGAGGGTAAAGATTCTAAGAAGTAATCTAGGTAGGAGGAGAGAGAGATTGATTACTGAATCCTGGTTCATTGAATCTACACCCAACACATGCAACAGAAATGACTCGATGCAAATATCAGAAATATGGAAGATATTATTACCACCAGTCAAATCAGAAGAGGATAATAAATAATCTCAAAATTCTATTTCAATTCAAGAAAATCACAACATTCTAACAAATTACTTATTATAACTATAAGAACATTCGTCTTATTTCCCATCTAATTGTATTTGATCAATAACACTCATATTGATTTTTATTCAAATATCTAGTCAATTCCATACATATATATAAATGAAGGAAAAAGTTGTGTGAGTAAATTGATATGATTATGAGCAATAATTTGTGCTCGAAACGTCATCAGTTAATATTACTGTGTAACACCGTGTGATTTATAAAAATAAAATCTTATCCATAATGAAACTTGTGTGTTATATGTTAATCACCTTATATTTACTGTGGTTATTCTCGTTACCTGTGTAACACTTTGCCATAGTACAATTTAATCTATGTTTATCCATTAAAATTTCTATTATAGACGCAACAGGCAAGCCAATCCAGAAGGTGTGGTTTCGGAACATCAGACTCCATATGCTGCAGGTAATCCGCAACCTGCAACGTTTCAGGGTGGATACGCTGACCCACCAGGATTCCGAGATCAATTAATTGAAAAAGCTGCTACTGGAGCAGTAAGAGGTGTGATTTCTGGCTCTGGTGGTGGTTATCCAGGAACAGGTTATTCTGGCACTTAGGTATATTATCCTCAGTGAGAGTTTGATATGTTTTCTCTGTTCTATTCCCTTCACAACCTAATAGTTCTCTGTTCCTTTAAGTTGCTTTCGTTTTGTTTTATCAGGCGGTTTAATTTCACTTTTCTCTTCTTTCCATGTTATTGGATCCTTGGCTAATTTTTTACTTGGTTTCTCATCTCTCTCGTCGCATTTACTGTGGTCTTTGATTTACGTTAAGGCTGTCTGTATTTATTCGTCTCAGTTCTATCTTAGTGTATAACTCGCACAAATGTTACTTTCATGTCTTATTTGAAATTATTGATCTTCTTTCGTGTTACTATTTATATTCCTTTTGGGGTTGATGTGAAATTAAATAATCCTGTGATATCTTTTGTCGAAAACTAATGACTGCTGCGAAGTTGCTAAAAGGCGAACAGGTCGCTGTACGCCTGTTTCGTCCGAAGTAGTGTCTTCTCAACAGTCGTAGATTAAATCATAAAGGAGGGAGTTATGCAACTGACAAAGAGTTGTACATTGCCATGAATTAACTATGTTCAACGCACCTAGACTTGGAGTAGTTGTTTACCTTGATGTTGTTTCGTGACTGCAACCATTCACTAAACTCACTGTGAATTTTGTATCAACCATATTATTTCAGATCATGTTGTCCAACTGACAAATCTTCTTTTTTTAACTGTATCTGGCATTATAATCATTCCATTATTCTCTGCATAATTATTTATTTATCATTTTCGTCCTTCATAATGTGTTTATCCTTTCTATATTTATACGTTACTTATTTTTGAATTTCTAGAAAATTTTATTGTGATCAAAAGTTTTGCTTTTGGTATTATTATTACTATAACTACGACTAATACTATTACTTATCATGATATTGTTGTTTCTTTGTGAAGGTTTAAGTAAAAGTCAACTTTCCAAACTATTTATAAAGTGTTATCATGTTGTCCGCGAAAATAAACTTATCCTGCCTGTTAACTCATATACTTTGTCTTTTCGATCTTCAGCTAACGTTTTTAATAGTACGCTGTCAGGCATATAGTGAAGCTGAATAATAATGATTATTTAATGGAATTTTTCCAACTTCAGTGAAACAAATCTCGGTTCTTTTAAAGTTGTAGATAGGTATTGTTAGTGACTATCAACGAATGAGCAATTTAAACTCACATAGTTTATCTTATCATCCCTTGACGTGTGATACCAAATTTATTCTACTGTATCTTAAGTGGCTAAATTGTACGGGAATAAATAATTATAAAAAGGAAGTGAGTACGTCTGGTGATATAAAGACAAATGTTGGACGAATTAACAATTAGAAAGAACATTTAAAGTGTTGCACAGAAATTTATTATTATTATTGTATCCTTTAATTCCTACAGGAACATAGGGCTTCAGCCGTGCGTCTCCATTGCGTTCTGTTCTCTGCTAGAGTCTTCACCTGGCTCCAAGTTTGCCCACACGTTTTCATCTCCTCTTCACATGACCTCCTCCAAGTCACCCTTGCACTGACGACCAACTCGCCGCTTCCCTTTCGGGTTCCACTCGAGCAATGGCTTGTCTAGTGATCTCACTTGATGGTTTCCTCAGAGTATGGCCAATCCATCTCCATTTCTTCCTGCCTATTTGTTTCACAATTGGTTCCTGGTTGGTTCGCTCCCAGAGATCCCTGTTGCTGATCTTTTCTGGCCATCTGATCTTGAGTATTGAGCGAAGACAACTGTTAATGAAGGTCTGTAGTTTGTTTGAGATGGTCTTTATGACGCGCTGGCCAAGTCTCTGATCCGTATAGTAGCACTGACTTCACATTGGAGTTGAAAATCCGGATCTTATTTTTGATTCTGAGTGCTGTTGACCTCCACACAGACTTGAGAGTAGTGAAAGCTTGTCTTGCTTTCCCTATCCTTGCTTTGATATCCTCGTCAGTTCCGTCCGCCTGTAGTTGAAACGATGCTTCCAAGGTAGGTAAAGGAGGTTGTTTCTTTCAGGTTCCTCCCATTTATGCTGATTGTTGTCAGTTGTTGTTGTTGCTGTTGATAGTGTTGCCCAGGAATTTTCATCACCTCTGTTTTATCTATGTTCACCTGAAGTCCTATCTTTGATGCTTCTTCTGCTAACTTGTTGCTTTTCGCCTGCATATCTTCCAGTTTGTGGGAAATCAGATATATATCATCGGCGAAGTCCAGATCCTCCAAGTTTTTTGTGTGGGTCCATTTTATGCCTTTTTCCTCATTGCCCACTGTTTGTCGCATTATCCAGTCTACTGCAATCAAGAAAATCATTGGCGATAGTAGGCAGCCAGCTTGTCTTACTCCTGTCCTCACTTCGAAGGGTTCCGTAAGTTTCCCATTGTGGATTACTTGGCATGCAGCATTGTCGTATAGCTGTTGGATGAGATGTATTATTGTCGGTGGCACCCCGTAATAGCGAAGTAGTTTCCAAATCACCTCTCGATCGACGCTGTCAAAGGCTTTTTCAAAGTCGATGAAGTTGAGATAGAGAGGTGACTGCCACTCTAAGCTTTGCTCAATGATGATCCGTAATGTTTTTTTGATTGCACACTAGTCAGTAACTAGTGTAATGCGTCTAGTCCTATCTTCGGTGCAGACTGAATTCTACCAGTCATGTGGCGATCTGGTCAATGCATGACTTGTTCCTCCTGAATCCAGCCTGTTCCCGTCTAAGTTTTTCATCCAGGGCATGTTTGATTCTCTCCGGGATGATGCGGCTTAGCATTTTGCTTGGGATGGACAGGAGCATAATTCGGCGCCAGTTCTTGCATTGACTTAAGTCTCCTTTCTTTGGTAGTTTGAATAAGTACCCTTTCTTCCAATCCTCGGGTACTTTGCCTTCTTTCCACACCTTCTCCAGTAGTGGCGTCATCAAGTCCGCTGTTGCCTCTGGCTCCATTTTCAATGCTTCTGCTGGGATTGCATCTGGTCCTGCTGCTTTTCCAGCTTTTAGCATCTTGATTGCCTTTAGGACTTCTGATTTCGTCGGGGGTTTGCTGTTCACTGGTAGCTCTGTCTCCGTTGTTGGTATTGCTGGGCGCGTTGTAGGTGGTGGTCGATTTAGGAGTCTTTTGAAGTGTTCAGCTCAGCGTTTCCTTTGCTCCACTTCTTTGTTGAGTGACTTTCCATTGTCATCCTTCAACGGCTTGATTTGTGTCAAACGTTTGCCCAATAGGTACCTAGTAGTTTGGCAGAGTGTTGCGAGGTCTCCTTTGCCTGCAGCTTGTTCTGCCTCACTTGCCATGGTTTCATAGTACTTTCTTTCGTCTTCTCTGGCACTCTTCTTTACTCTTTTGTTCAGTGTCTTGTAGCTTGCATTCAACTCCTGTTTTTGTTGCTCATCGGTGCACTGGAGAATCTTTTGTTTCACCATCCCTCTCTCTTCTATTAGTTTCCAAGTGTCCGTAGTGAGCCATTGTTTGTCCTGTCTCTTCTTTCTGCCTAGAACTTCCATGCAGGTTTGACTCCACACTGATTTCAAGTTGTTCCAGTGCTTTCCGACGCTGACCTCTTCGCCAGTGTTGATTTGTGTCTCGGCTTTGTCCTTTATGCTTGCAGTGAAGATGTCCTTTGTGTCCTGGTCCTTCAGTTTTTGAGTGTTGAACTTGGCTTGTGGCCTATCTGCAGCTCCTGATTCTCTGAAAGCTTTTAATTTGATTTGGATTGTCCCTTGTACGAGATAGTGGTCTGAGCCAATGTCTGCTCCTCTTCTTACTTTTGTGTCCAGTAGGCTGCGCCTCCACTTCCTTGAGATTGAGATGAAGTCGATTTGGTTTTTGGTTCGCCCATCTGGTGACACCCATGTAGCCTTGTGGATATCCTTGTGTTTGTATACGCTGCCACCAATCACTAGTTCATTAAAGGTGCAGAAGTCGGCGAAGAGTTCTCCGTTTTCATTCATTTCTCCGAGAGCTTCTCTACCCATGATGAGTTCCCTTCCTGTGTTGTCTGATCCCAGTTTGGCGTTCATGTCTCCCATTAGTATTTTGATGTCACCAGCTGGAGTATTGTCTATTGTTGTCTGCAGTTTTCTGTAGAATTCTTCTTTCGTTTCGAGGTCTGCGTTGTTTGTCGGTGCATAGCATTGTATAATTGACACTTTCCTTCCTTTGGAGTTGAATCTGGCGGTTATTATCCTGGGCGAGATCGCCTCCCATTGCATCAGGGCCTTCGTTGCCGTTGGTGACATCATGATAGCCACGCCCTCGGTGTGCGAGTGGTTATCTTCTGGTTGACCGGAGTAGATCACTGACTCACCCGTTGACAATTTGGTGAGTCCATTCCCGTTCCATCTGCTTTCACATATTCCCAGTACTTGAATTTTGTATCTTTTCATTTCGTTTGCGATCTGGGCAGCTTTGCCAATCTCGTACATGGTGCGGACATTCCATGTCCCCACAAAGACTTTTTCTTTTGTCTCAAGGAGATACATCGTGCTGAAGTTTCTGTAGCAGGTTTGTTTACAGGGTGGGGTTGCTAGCCTCACGCCTGTTACACAGAAATAAATATACATAAGTTTGTAGAATCTGAGTAGGACTAAATTACACGAATTGTGGTCCTGCGGGTAGTCATGGAATAAACATTTCTAGCTGAATATTTTGCTGTAATAGCTTCAGCACTATAATGAATCCTTACCACCTGAAATAGATGTTTCGAATGATCATAGAAACCAATTGTGCTAAGATTTTAGCTATTATGTATTAGGTAAGATTGCATCTGCCAAGGGGTTATTAACTTAACTCCTCCTGACCGACATGGAGAATCTGCGAAATCCACCTCACAGGTGTCAAGGGATTCTTCGGCTAGTTTGCAAAGACTTGAGGTGTAGAGGTAGCGCTCAATGTTAAGGCGGAGAAATCCCTACTTGACTGGACCTCAGTGGATGTGTTGTCCGTCTAAATCGGTCTGTCAAAAGAAGGACAGACTGCGTTCCCCTTCGATGCAATTGTACAATCTACGCTTACACCCCAATAGACTGCAGTTCGGACCAAGTAAAGGATAGGTTCTATCAAAATCTGTCTAGTTTGTTGCTGACAGCAAAACGCTCAGATATAGTTGTTCTAGCAGGCGATTTCAGTGC